CTCTGGCGAAAGAGACGGTTTGTGTCGAGAAGGTGGTTCTCCGGCACAAACTGCACACCGGTTCGGCCTCTTGTTTTTGCTCTGCCTGTCGCGTGCATGAGTACGAGCGGTGCTATACCAGGAGCAAGTACCCGGCCTGCGGCACGAAGCTCGAAGAGCAGGTAGTAGAGGAGACCGTCATCATGGTCACTGGTGTAGATCCTGTGGTTGGGGTGGATCCTGTGGTCGGGAGCAAAAAGAAGGCGAAGAAAATTGTTTTCCGGAAGGGGGCGACCACCTGTCAGATGGACAGGGTTACCGGTACACAGTTTGGGGTCTCACTCTGCGGTAGCAGCAAGTAGATATTACTGAGGGGCTGGGTGATGGTGCGTTCAAATCTTGGTTTGCGTTTTTGCTGTAATTTTGTGAAGATAAGCGCGTGGTTTGGTGGAGATTGTGCGTGTTGCGACTTGTAAACTTGCAGTTTTTCTGTTGTGCTTCAATCGGCGGCGGCGAGAAAAGTGTAACGTACAACACCCATCATAACTTTGTTCAGAATGCGAGAAAAACAATTACAACGACGGATTCGTGATCCCCGCCCCAAAATTGTCAAACACTGAATTTTTCAGATCGATCTGACGATTTTTCAAAACCGGGGATATTTTGGCACCATCCCCGGTCGGTGCGTTTTCGCAAATCGGCGAGCGAAAAAGAGCATAATCCATTGAAACCCGGCCACTGCCATCGAGTTTGTTTTTAAAATTTTGCATATCATCATAAGTATGATAAAGGATCATTGTATTAAGTTTTCAAGGGTTGGGGGGGGGATGGTGACGATCCGTCCCGTCCCCCCAAAATAAATTCGGCTTTACCGCGGAACCCGCCCGTGGCGGGTGGCGGACCCTTTGCCTCTTTGTTCTTCTGTTTCTTCACTCTTCCCCGTCAACGTGAGACCTGCCCGCTCACCAGAGCTCCTATGCTTTGCCCTCAAGCACGCAAGCACACCAGCACACACCTACCTTGCATCAGTGGCTAGATTCGGGCGAGGGTATATGTGGAGCTATGATTCATAGTTTTAACGTTGCTATTTTGTTGGACTCGTCGATAATGCTGGTGTGTAGTACACCTGCTGACGATGACTGCTGCGTCTTGGGAGTGGACGATTATAAAATTTGGACAAGATGTAGTACTACGATATCCTGACTTGGCTGGGCTTGAAATATCCCTGTTGCTGCTGCCCTCCGAACTTTGCATCAGTGGCTTCCTATATTCCGGCGAGGCATGCATGTGGAGCTGTGATGGGTGTCTCTGTGAAAGGATATGTAGAGAAACTCATGATGTGGCATTCCCATCCAGCGCGTTGTGCATTTTTCGAATTTTGGTTCCCTTCCGCGAACCTTGATTTTCCCCGCCAGCACTCCTTTTACTGGTCAACGGTTAGTGGCGCGGTCGTTGCTACGGTAGTACTCATCACACACCTGCCTTGGACTTGCCAACACCTGGCGTGGAGGGATACAGGGCGGCAACCCCATGGCATGCCGCCACACCAGCAATTGCAAATGGCCAAAAATGGTCTGTCATTAAGCCGTTACCCGCAAAATTAAAACCACAGTAGTACGTGGCTTTTGGCGCTTTCCGCCACCTCCCAAACTAGGCGACTGCGAAGCGAAACTCGCTACTGAGCGTGTGAAAAGAAAGGTAGATTAGGGAGAGGGAGCGAAAATGAGGACCGACGAGCTTTGGACAGCAGCCTAAGTCAACCCCAGTAGGGGAAATGAAGCATACGTGCTTTATCCCTCGAAGGGGTCGAGACATGGGCTAAAAAATGAGCTTGCTGGGCGCAGAGCGAGAACAGAAACGGAAAGGAGCTACTTTGTGTTGGATCTTCTCTCACCCACCCATCGTGTATTACTAGCCGTCCGTCACTACCGCACCGCCGTTCGCTGCTTTTGCCTAACATTTTGCTCTACAGAACGTTCTCGAGAACTACCCGTCTTTCCTGCTGCTCCTCGGGCTGGCGGCCATCAACCGACCCACTATCGCGGGAGTCGCTGGAGAGATACGCCTGGCCGGTTTCGTCGCCTACGTCATAGGCTACAGGGTGAGTGTGTTTTGTTACACGCGTAGGCACGAGTATCGGACGTATTTGGACACGAGGCGTTGTAGCGGGCACGTTTCGCCCCGGCTCGGCCTTGTGTGATTTTTTTTTGGCGACGTGCGTGGACGAGGAGAGCTGACACCGGGAAAACCCCACGTGTTGCGTTTCATTTTATATTTGTGAGTGGTGTTTCTGTTGTTATTTTCGGTGTGTCTCCGAGAGCGGTGACGCTGATGCTGTTGACCGTCCGTTCTCTCGCAAGACACCCCGCTTCCCCCAAGTGAAGTCAAGCCCCCCCAAAAGTAACCGAGGAGACACCATGGCATGCGTGTCACGCACGTTTTAGCTTTTTTGTAGCCGCCTTTCAAGGAATGACATCCCGAAGAAACCTTATCCTGGTGGTGCCCCCCTCTCCCGCGACCCAGTTTTGTGCTTGTCGCGGGAGAGCCTGTGCGCCTTTCAGCGGCATGTTTTCCTTTGACACCCTCCCCCCCCCCCC